GAAGGTGAGCTGCAACCGCCAACCAATGAGGAGCTCACAAAGGGCTCCAGAAATCCATTGATTGCGCGAGCTGTTCTACCTAACTTTAAGCTGAAGCGCCTAGTGAAACAAAAGACAAAGGTCCGCTGAAGAGCTAAAGCCGTCAGCTAAGAGACGAAAAACTAAGGGCGGACGCCCGTAAGATCTTTGCTGATGTGGCCCGGAACCGCATTGTCATTGGGGTACTGGATGAGGTGACCCCGAAGGAAAATTCCCAGAGCCCAATGGAAATAGGTGCAAGCCGCACTGACGAATGTGGCTTTGAAGTGCTACTAAGCAATCCAGGTCCACCCCGTCATGTGCGGATGCCGGATGGTATAAGGGCAGATAAAGATGATAGCGTGTGACGACAGAGATCGGTCGAGCTATATAAACCAGCAATAGCTAAGGAGGGAGGTCTACCCCGGAGGCCAAATTAGTGGCGTAGACAGAAGACATCCCATCCCGACCGAGGGTAAGGTATGGATCCAGCTACACCATCGCAGCCGGACCAAATAATGCAGCTCATAAGGCTCAACCCAAATCTGCCAACTGGGGATGGAGATTCGTCAAGGCCTTGACGACCCGCAGCGGAATCGGTGGAGGAAACGAACGAGCCACAATGCATATTCTGCTGCTTCTAACAAAAATCCGTAAAATCGCTAGCGAAAGTGGCTGAGAATCAACTACGCGATTCACAAAAGTAAGGTCATGACCTACAAATCAGACGCCGATGCAGGAAAACTTTAGTATCGGAATAGGAGTGCCGAAGTCGAGGAAGATGCAGTGGAGTCCTCGAGCTCGCAGAGATCCTGAATCAAGGTGAGTGGTACTTCGGGTCTGAGCTGCGTCAGACTCTCTAAACCTTACACTGAGAGTGAGCTTTTAAGCGACTCTCATTGAAGATACAGAAGACAATAACTAATGCGTCTTCTCCAAATTAATCTGCACCACAGCAAACTAGCGTCTCTAGCCCTAGTTAACCGCATGCGAAGAACGGCCTGACTTGTCCTCATGCAGGACCATGGGTTAACGGAGGGCGTATTGCGGTCTGAGGACACCAGGATATAACCTATACGCGAATGGTTGTGTAGGTAAGCCTAGGACATGTATATTGGCTAGACTCTCTCTGGGGCAGGCTTGTTTAAACTGCACGCGTGAAGCTAATCGACAAATAACAATTTTCCCAAATGGGTAAAACCTTTTTTGTGTTTCTCAGCTGTTTGCTTACGACGTGAAAATATTGTCTGCCGATTTTTACCATGGAACACAGAAATTGAACAACGAGTGTGCTTGAAATTTTGTGTTTCTAATGGAATCACACATTTTTAGTGTCACAAAACATTCGGCGGAGGTCGTAAAGTTATCGAAAACTTGCTTTATGCGAGTCTTCCATCCACATCTCTTGCTTAACAACGAAAAAGTAAAGAAAAAGCGATTGATTGAAATCAACCAAAAAACTTGAATCATTTGCAAAAACGACGTCGAGTAGAGTTTGTAAGTCATGATACAAAGATGAAAGCTTCGGTTATGTTAGAAAAGTGATGCAACATTAAACCGACCGGATGATATTCACAGTTCGCAGTGGCTACATGCCGTAAAATCTATCTAACACTAAATGCGATTGCATTTGCGGACTAATAAAGTCCAAATATTAATCAGCCTAATATTTTTACACTCTCGCAACATGATGCTACAGAAAATAATATTTTTCTTCACCTAACGGTTGTTTTTATTACTTAAAATTAATCGAGTTATGTAGATATGCAGTTATAAAATGTCATTAAACGAAAACCTATAAAGTGTCATAACTAAGCACTAAAAGAACATACCAAGCAATAAATCGGTATATGGGATTGCAGTAGTAAGAGAAAATTGTATGTGAGATTATCCAATCATTTCCATTATATCCTGGGAAAGTAAAACTTTGTCCTCAAGGTATTTCATTTTATGCCAAAAAATTGCGACTTCGGGCCATAATTTTTCAAGAACCTTTACACCAACTGTGTGGACTCCAGTGCATATGGCTGGTATTTTACCGAACATACTTGTATAGGTCAATCTGGGAGGTCTAGTTTTGAAATTCGGGGTGACTATTTTTGTGATGACAGTATGCCCTTGTGCCAAAAATACGCAAAATCGAGTCAATACTTCCCGTAGCCCCCATATATCGAATATGAATATTTTCGAGCTTCCGCTTGACTCTATTCCACATTTATTGGTCAATATAAAAGAAATCTTAATAAAATTCAGAAATAATCTCCTTCTAATAAATCTGTATACTTTTGCCTAAAATGGATGCTACAGAGTAGTACTTCCCCAGTTTGATTTAAAGTTTTGCCAACACCTGAAGGTATCTCCTAGGCCTTGATCCTTCCGAGAGTACAAGACGTTCGGTTATACCCGAACTAAGCCCTTGTTTTTTGTGTTTTGGTCCAAGTAAAAGTTCTGTACACCTAAAAAACACTCTTTACTTGGGTTGCAATTAACTAAATAAATGTGCACTTTCCGTTACTTGAAATAATGAATAAAACAAATTGACAATCAAATTATATGCATGTACTTATACATATGTTAATTTTGATGAATGAATAAATTTAATAAACGACTAATTGCTTTATTACGGGTATTAATGTGTAAAAATAATAAGCTAAATCGATTTCATATACATATGTATACTTATAAATAGATGCTACAAGATTAGAACATACAAGTATACTAGAAATAAATTTTAAAATTCGTTGCATCTGTATTGTTTAATTTAAACAAACTGAGTGAGCCTAAAGACTCAAAAGCTTATTAACTGGAGATAATGACAGCACAATGAGCAACTGATTCTTTAAAGCGTGGATAGAACTAAAGTTTCCAGGATTATAGGTCAATTATGATTTTCCATTAATACTGACTTATAATCGGATTACTTTCAAATATTCTGTTCTACAGCTTGGGCTATTAGACCCTTCCTGAATAGTATAGAGTATAAAGTATGAGTTTTTACATTCCGAGTAGATCTCGAAATCAGTTTCAAAACGAGAAAAACCAAGGAAAATAAAATCATAAAGTGGAGAAGAAGTTATTTCTTAAACAACATTAAGTTACCAGTTTAAATGAATTAAGCAAAAACTATATATGTATATATGATATATTCTGCAATTTGACGTCGAATTGGTCCAATAAGTCGGTGTAGTAACGTACTTTGATCGTTTCGCTCTGCTCTCTGCGAATAAAATTTAAGAGAAAAGAGGTAACCATATTTTGTATTAAATATTTCATTTTAATGGTTGTTTGCTTATTAAGTACTATATAGTTAAAAACTCGTTCTTGCAAAAAAATAAAAAAAGGGGATTTGTAAATATTTGGGCTCATTTAAAATAATTGTATGAAAACAGATGCCGGAAACTCCGCATATTGTTTTGAATAAGAAATATAACAGTTTATCTCCCTTTAGATGAACCTTATCAATAAGTGAGTCTCTAATTTATATTAGAAGATATGTACTTAATATAAACGGAAAAACCTGAAAAAAATTGTCAGAGCTATAAAGTCACACAAGGCCACCGGGACGTATATACTAACGCTCTCTGAAACCGAAAATTCTCTATGTAAATACGCACATGCATTTATTTCGCTGATAATCTTTTCATGCGACTCAATCTTACCATTCAGCCAGTTATTTTAATAATGAGTACGCATTTAGGCATTCATTGTTCCACGGAAAAAGCAAATTTTTCAGATACCCAAATTCTGAAATTAAAATTTTAACCGAAATTTCAGAAATACATCCCCAAATAATGTCTTAATTAATATTTATTACATTATTACTTGGTACTGTACTATAATATATATTGTATTTAATTTTGTTAATAAGCTCTTTTTAGAATTTTGAGGTATGCTAGAAATATATATCTTATCCTTAGATAACTAAGTAAAATACCGAATTTTATGAAAAAGCGGATAAAAAACAGAAGTGAAGTAATCATTTCCTGTCGGCAACATGTTCTAAGAAACACAAGCTGCCTTCGATTCATAATTTTCGCTTTTGATCTTTTGTCAAAAAAATTACATGTAAAAGCAACAACAAAGTTATCGAGTTGAATTCGTATAAGAGAGGATGCGGATACCTTATTAAAGTGGTATAACCGCAAACTTCTAATTGCTACAAAGTTTTGTTTTTGCATATTTTAAATTAGTTTTATTATTGTGAATGGCTGAAATGATAAATGAAAATACAAAGTTCGTTTTAGTCTTTGATTTTAAAAACTTAAGACTTGAAATCAATTATAATTGTATATAGAAAACGAAAATAAGGAGTAGAAAGAATCGTAGCACGTTTGCGAATGCGTCAGAGTCATGTTAGCGCAATGTTGCACCACAATTACTGCCCGTTTGTTTGAGCATTTGGTATAGTTTGTACGATTGGCAACTTCCCAACGCTTGGGGCATCGAAGACAGCTACAATTGAAAACGGAGGTAGAGCATATTGGCTCTTTAGAAAAAGTAAATAAAAGTCTGAGCTTCCGACATTGTGTTCTGATTTTCATACGACAATATAAAAATATGACCAATATTATTAAAACGACTCACGACCTGACAGCTCCTATTTATGTGCTTTCTTCAAACCTATTAAAATTGCAAAAGCTTTATAAGACCGATTCATATTTTTCCTTAGTTCCAATATATCGTTGATATATATTTTGATTCCATCAAAAACGTTCCTCACTTTTTTGTATCAATTCACTGCTTACAGAAATGGTTTATGTCTTTATTGCTTATATTTTAAAAGCTTGATATAAATTAAGAGTAAAAATAATTAGCTTTACTATGAACTAATTTAAAAAAAGTTTACTTAATAGCTTATGGAAACCTTTAAAGAAATTTTTGTTACTTACATATATCGGAAATTGTTAAGTGTTTAAGAAATAAATTTATATATCGGTATTTTCATTACCGATATATTCAATATTTATATTTGATTTTTTTTTAAGTACTGCGTTTAATTCCGAAAACGATTTAAAGACTTCTGAATCTAAAGCACCAATAAATTGACTAAACCATATATTACATAGGTTGGAAGATTTTTGGCCTGACTGAGAAAACGTGTCACAATTAAAAATCGCTTGCGTTCGATTTGAGCCACGCAACTCGCTTCCGGTACATTCAGCTTCCTTTACGACTGAGAAATTGAAAGAATTACGGTACGACTAGTCCCCTACTCACCGTATTCCGAAGACCCTGCTTCATTTTCTCTCAAGATCGAAACAAACAAATTATAGAAATGTTGGAGAACCGTTACACCTTCTCAGCCATATAGAGAAAACAATTTTAAATTGAGCTCATATTGAAGAATAAAGCTATTTTGTCGGTCAAAGAGCCGTTCTGTCATTGTTAGGCCAAATACTTCTCAACCCTTACAGTCTAATATTACAGCTTTATTAATATCCAATAACAGAATATAGTTGGAGTGCTTTTTAATGTGCTACAATTAGAAAATTTAGCATTGTGCTTACACAAGGTATTTCCTACTTTCTGCTGGAGTTGCAAATACTGTTATAAAGTGCATATACCATATACGAATATTGTGCAGTAACTATCCATAAAAGGTTTCAACAATGTTAAAATTGTATAAGCTTTTGCAAAATCAAGTGAAGATAAGTCGTTGACTCAGATCTTGACTTGATATGGACGCATGTTGTATGTCATCAAGTGGTCGACGCAAAATGCGGAAATTAACTTCACCAAAATCCATAGTGCCTCTGGAGATTTTCTGCAAATGAGCAAAATATTGGCAATAAAACCTAATACAAATTGAGGCATACGAATCACAAGCAATTGCTTACCTGAAAACGATTCGACATCATCCATAATTCTTCTTTGCCGACATCGTTTTTGTGCACCTTCATGCCGCTTACAAATTCAATCAGTTGTCGATCTGCCGGTATTTCGATCTCATGCTTAATATTGTACGGCTTATTCGGACTCCAACGAGTCAACATGATTGGATTGAATGTAACACAGTAGAGATTCTTGTGGCTGTCCATCGCCTGGGTGGCACATGGACTGCTACGTTTGCCCACCGTTCGAAAAGCCTGAGGCATGGCATCCACACTCTCCTTAAAATTGGTACGATTGTTTATGACGCTCAACGGCACTGCATACTCGCTGACACTGGCCAGTGGATGGAAGTAGAGCTGTTCTCGATCGCTGGCCAAACCAAACATGCCATCCATTAAAATGAATTTCTCATTGGCAATTGAGTGTGTGCCATGATCGGGATCGGGATACATGAATTTATTCTCGACGCGCCAAGCAGTATTTAATTCCGAGTCATATACAACCAGACCATGAAACGTGACATCAGCCTTGAATAATTTATAAGTACACAGACAAACGAAAAAACAATGAGGAAAATAGTAAGCACACGAGTTTAGAATGAGTTAGTAGCAGGTAACTGGGTGTGTGGAAAACTTGGCAAGCCAACATCTTACGTACAATGTAGACTTGTAGTTTGCGGCAGCGTCCTTTCGGCGGGGGATCATGCACAATAACTAATGGCGTGATGAAGAGTGAAGCGACTGCTACGTACATGCTTGATTCGAAACGATAACGATGGAATAAGGTGTCGGTGTTCAAATCGAAGACAAGTAGCTGCGGTGGACAATGTTGAACTCCGCTGATAACGCCCGAATCAAGTACGAACATTTGATTGCACTCTGTGATCTACAAGGTGGTAGAAAAGAAGTGAAAATATTAAACACATACACATGATCAACATGAATTTCAACTTACTGCCACACGGAATACAGAAGTAATTTTATCACAATCACTACCATGTGAATTGTGCCAACTGTAATCGGGATATGGCTGCAGGACTGGTCCATTCGCCTCATTGGCGTCAGTCACCACCGCCAAAGTGTACGGAATGCCCGTTGTGAATCTGGGTACTGTTGTAAAGACACGTGATCCCTTTACTGCTGTGAAGTGTGTGGAAAATTGGTGTGATTTCGTTATTGCTAATTAAGTTTACACATTACTCACAGTGCTGATGGGTTGCCACATCGATGGGTGTTGCGTTTTCTGGCACTAAATTGCCATTGGCTATTGCTTCTTGACGATCTGCCTCCGTAGGGAAGCCAAATACCATTTGTTTCCATTGATAGACCATTTCTAGCTCGCGTTGTTTAACACTGAGTATGGCATGCGGTGTTAGAACCAATAAAAGTACTACGAAAAATCTTCCCAACATAATGTAAATTTCGTATGTAGAACTTTTGCTGTAAAATACAAAACGTGAGAAATTAGTATTTATGCTTTATATCAGAGCTGTTGTCTACTATTTATTTTATGCACTGGAAGAATACATGAATAAGAACTTTAAAAAGCGAAAATTATCACAATTCATCGAATAACAAAAATAACTCTTTTTAATTTTACTCATTTTCAATCTAATACGTTTTCTATATTCATACATATATTCCGTTATCGCAAGTTTTTTCTAGCGTATAAGTGACAGTGAAAGTGAATTTTAATATTTGTTTGTATTTATTTTTAGTATACTTATTTTACTTAACTATATTTATACATACAAACATTAATATTTATTCAGAAGTATACTCAAGTTTATATCTACAGTGAAACTCTTTTAAGTTGATCATGTTTTGAATTTAAAATTCTCAGCTAATACTATTATTTTATAACTATACAGTTATTTCAGAATGCTAATATATTAGGCTCTCTTAACTTTCCATACTCAAAAATTTTCAAAATAATTTTGAGGAATGCTGCCGAATGGACAGTTCTTGGGCAAATAAAATTTGAGTCGGTTTCACGGCAAAAAGTATTCAAATCTAGAATCTCGAATATTTCACTATCGTAAATTTGAGGTTGCAATTCTTTAGTAAAAACTTGTGCGGCATGTCTATTAAATACGATAAAAATTCGATAATATATCCGGAGATTTATTAGACATTTTACTGATGAGCCCACTTGCGCCATGGTCTTTAAATTTTTTTTATTTGCTTCGAAATTTTTTCAGATCCTCGTCGAGCTTTTTCCTCTCTAACTTGGAACTAAGAAAAAAGGAATATTTGCACGTATATTAATAAAAATATTTATTATCGCCTTCAAAATAGGCACCTGACCCTATACAAGCATGCCAACTTAATTTAATTTACCATACACTTGTTATAAGCCTCGGCTGAGATGTCCTTCAGAGAACTCAGCGAATTTTGGTTTTTCCGGTTTCGGCTCTTTTTGGAAGCATCACATTAAATTTTTCGACAGTTTCAACGTCATATTCATAAACCCAACCAATGTGTTTGATGAATGTTGGATCCTCAGCTATGCTCTTTTAGTACGAGTCTAGCATTGACACGCTTTATACCCCAAACATTAACCGAAATATGTTGAGTCGATCCATAAGATGTTGAGAGCTTCTGTTATCTCTCTGATCCCAGCACGACAATTTTCAAGCACTGTCTCTTTAAGTTATTTGATGCTATCGTCATTACCAGAGGTGGATGGACGACTTGAATGAGGCAAGTTTTCGATGACTTTCCGAATTTCACTGAGTGCTTTATGCCATTAAAATACTTGTTTTCGTGATATAACAGACTCCTCAAAATACACTTCTGCAACATTTTCAATGATTTCGTAGTCGTGATTCGATTAGAAACAAAGCAAACTAATTGAATTTAAGTAGCCTAGTCCGGGTCATATATCACACCATTTTTTTGTTTTACTTTATGTGCTTGATGAAATTCTGTTCAAAACGGTCGCGTCAAATGGTTTTAATATTCCAAATGTTTCATTCAGGCCTTCTTAATTTTATTTCAGTTTTAGACACATACACATTATTCACATTTCCATAGACATAATTTTACAGACACACAATTTTTAATTCATTATATAAAAGAAAAAATTTTGATGCTTTCGTTAAAAAAGAAGGTATTCACTTCAAATCATGCCTTGAGCTAAAATTGTGGGTATTCTAAATACTGTCATACTTCTGTATGAAATCAGTAAATTAGCTCAACGAAAGCCGACTTGATACTATATCAGCAGGCACCACAAAAAGTATATCACCGTATCAGTTATTAGCGAAACTAAATATGGAAATACATTTTTTTAACCTCTTCTTATTTTTAGGCATTCATTTTTATTCGATAATCTTTTCAACAATTAAGTTAAACTTTTCGGCAAAATCACTTTCACATTCAAGAAATCACTCGTTTTTTTTAAATTAATTTCACATGTACCTAAAATATATATATTCATACTTATATTCGAAAATCTTCAAGCTTACACTTTTGCGTAGTAATTTCAAGAACCGGTAATCGCGGTTATGAATATTTGTTTGCAAACTTACCTCAAAAAATCTTCAACGGAAAGATGTAAACTAAATGGTAAGACTTATTGTTGTGACATTTGCTGTTGACGTAATAACTTTCACCGTTTCGGAAATTTTAGGCGCGTGTTTGTGAAATGTCTTTTGAAATTTTTTAAAGAAATTGTATACTTTTGAGAGAATTGTTTTCAACAAGTGCGCGCTTAGATATGGACTGCTGTCTATTTGGAATTAACACATCTTTTTATATGTTTCTTGCTTCACAGTGAAACTTATTCATTATCAGTACTTTTAATCAATATTTTTTTAAGTTTAAGTGGATGCACGATTTTGCCTTAAGCATGTAATAAATTGTTTAACGAAAATCACTTACTATTAAATTCCGGTGATATGGGTTTAACGAGTACCAAGAAATTTAATTGAAAATCAAATTTAACTGTAATGCTATTACATACTATTCGAGTTAATTAGATCACCTATAACATATTTATTGGGTATTTATGTAGAAATCTGTTAAAAAGTGTATTGACTATTATCTGTTAAAAAGTGATTGACTAAGTATGCAACCGAGGTCAACGTTTTTTTTGTGTTTGCAGTAAATTTCAGCAATGAAAATTTTGGATAATGGTGAACAAAGTTTCAAATCGATATCTCGAAAACTGCGGGACTATTTCGCGTATATACATACAGACGTGCACGGTTAAATCGACTCAGCTCGTTAAATTTATCATTTATATAGTATACATACATATATATTTCTTATAGGGTCTCCGACGCTTCATTATGGGACGTTGTTACAACATTGGGTTGCGGAATATTCGAAATCCAAAAACAAAAACTAAAGTTTTTCATGCAAACACTGACCAAATTGCTAAATCGTTTAACATTAGTTATAGGATTGCCAGATTTATTATACATCTTGTACATAATGTAGTATTTAGAAATTAACTCATCCTAAGTTTTAATATCAGTATACAAATGAAACGCATTAAGTTTTTGTATCAAGTTCATTTGGAAACATATATTTTCGAAATATTGAATTTTTAGTGAATCAAAATCCGTATTTTTCCAATTTTAATTCTTCTTTATTGCATACACCACTCTCTTCAAGTATTCATATGCCTTTTGATCAATGTCATGAAGATTAACAGCTTTTCTCACCTAAATTATTTTATCACATTCACTTCTTCCAAAAACCCGTTAAATTGTTTTTTAAACTGTATATATGGTATGTATTAGCGCGTCTTCAGCGTTCGACAAAAATTTTGCGTTTACGAAAGCTCCAACGCAGGAGATGTTTGCGTCTGCGATTACAACGAGAAACTATTTTTCATACTCACCGGAAGATCGATACAGACGCACAAATCTTCTTCGTTTCGCAACATCAATGACGTACAGCACGTATCAACAGAAACGGCTAAGTCAACAACAACAACATAATAGACATTCCGGCCCCGTTCACCCTGCCTTATCTATGTCACACACTCGACATATGCATGAGTACTCATAAGTGGTTGCGAGTGAGTATGTGTGTGCTAATCTACGCCTTTTTCAATGAGACGCATATGCGGTTACAGGTTCGCTAAATGATTTTTCACTCTGAGCTTGTTCTAAAGCTGGATTGAGCAGTTTTTGGGCGGGTTGGTGACGGTTTTATGCGTTGTCAATATAACGTTTATTTTACGGTTGTTTGCTTTGGTCAACTGAATATAAATAAAGGAAGTGCCTATTGACTGGTGTAGATGTGGTGCTTGGGATTTTTATTTTAAAGCTTCACTGAACAGCCCAACCGACCCCCCTTAGAATAATTTAATTTAATGAACAATAATTTTTTTATTGTTATTAAATTAAAAATAGATTCCACATTTGTCATAATAATTGCTTCTCACTTGAGTATTAGTTTTTATTGTTTGTTTATATTTTTTACTGTCCTTATCATTAGGAAGAAATTTCTATTATTAATAAGAAAATGCATTTCATTTTGATTAAGTAACGAGAAATTTTGCACTATTTTTGCACTTTACTGGAAATTTTTGTGTATATTTGTGTGAGAATTTTTTAATTCTTATGTACTAATTAAAGAGAGGGCCAGTAACAAATTTGTTTAAATATATATAGAAAACTTTCAAACCAAATTTTAGAAAATACTTCTAAATTAAGAGATTTTAACCCTTAATGAAGAATTAGAGTTTTGAGAATTTCATATATGCTCTGTAGTTTGACCTAACCTTGAAAAGATGAAATATTCATTTTCTAATTTTCGAAAAATATGTTCAATATATATAGTATTTTTAATGACCAAGTTTTGGCATTTGAAAAACGGCCAAAATAAAATTTCGTGCGTCAAAGAAAAAAGCTGCTGTTACCAAAACGAAGACTGATAAGTATTATTCGGGTGCTGATACATCAATCACAAATCGTCCACCACGATCGGACGTAAGCAACAACGAATGGATCCCAATAAAACCGATTTTTTGGCTTTGTATACAATGAAGGATGTCTCAAGCATTTCCCTCTGGGGTCCAAACGGCAGTATCCGTTTATATAGTATCCCGAGTATATGCCGTGTTTATGAAAACAAAGGGCAAATTTACATAAGTCGGGAATCGAATTGTTTCCGCATCCACTGTAGTTGATAAAAAAGGGATACTTATCAAACATTTTTCTTATTGTAACTGGCTAGGGTATTTCGGATTAATATTTTTTGTACTGACACCGAGTTATATATATGAATACAAAAATTTTAAAGATATCACCTCATTGTAGGTTTTGGAAAATTTTAAGGTTTTTCTTTTAAAACTAAAATTCTATTACGAAAACTTCCAAAGAAATTGTATCGATCTAATGCCCATATTGCTTACTTTTACCGCATTAATCCGGTATTTGCTGTCAAATAGCTATTGATTATACTGAAGATTCTCGCTCTGATCGCTTTAGTATTGAAGGTAGTTGTAGGTAGTATTGGAGGTTTGAGATAAATTATACATTCGTTTTAGATTATTAGCTAAGAGGATTGCCCAAGAGATTTGATTTTAGTATAATGATATCTGATACCCCAATCGTTCTGATACAAAGCCATATTAATTCATTCATAATAAAGTCCAGCTATTAACCAATGTATTAATTTCTTCTTGCTTAATTTCAAATAAAAGTTCTGTACGCCCATAAAACACCCTTTACATGGGTAGCTATTAATCACTTACATGTACACATTTCGTAACTTGAAATAATGAATAAAACCAATTAAGTTGTCAATTAAATCATATGCATATACTCATATACTTATAATTTTAATGAATGATCAAATTTAATAAAAGACTAATTGCTTTATTAGGAGTATTAAAATTCCAAATTAATTTGCTGAATAGAATTCATATACAAGTACAAGTATTACGTACAGGAATGAAACATATACTACAAATATATGTATTTTAAGAATAGTAGAAGCTGTGTTGTTCACTTAATTCAAATTGAGTTTGGGTAAATAGTCAGAGGTATATTTATTTGGAAATTACGACAGTAGGGTGGACAATTATTCTTTAAAGCGTGGAATTTATGTTAATGTAATATTTGAAAGAACTAAAGTTTCAAAAGAATATTAGTCAATAGTGTATTTTCTTGGCCTTGTCTCCATTGATACTTACTTATGATAAGAACAGAAGTATTGATAACTCCACACAAATGCATATGCTGATTACTTAGTAACACTATGTTCTAATTTCGACTACGTGAATAACAGTAGTATAGGGGAGTTTTTACAGTCAGATCTTTATTAAGAGGTTGTCTGATAAACTAGTGATGGAAGTTTTTAGATAGCACTAAATAATAATAAATTGTAAAAGGAAAAAAAATTAGCTTCGAAAATACGTTTAGCAAAAGTTTAACCGAAATAATCCAACACTTTAACACAATGCTGCACGACTTGTTCTCTACTTAGACCAGGGTATATAATTTTTGAAAACAAAAAATCATAGTAGGATGAATTCCATCGGAAATGCAATATAAAATAAGAAAAATAAGGGGAAAAATAATTTACGGGTGGATTTTTAAAGGTTAAGAATGGCTTATCGAGATTTCCGGTTAAATTATAAGTCTCATAGAAAAAAGTTATATGGCAATGTTGTAGGTAATGGAAAATGTTTCACATAACCTCAAAATTTATCCCACAACTAAGTTTTTGAGTTTTTTATTTTTATCTTGTAAAAAATTTGTTTCTTTCACGAAAATTGGTAGAAACTTACCATTTGATGTCCCAAACCCACTGTATTTTTTTTTAATTTAAAATATTTATTTTTTCTTCTTATATTTTTTCTTCTTAATATCGAAAAAACGCTAATTTTCAATCAAAAAATCTCAAGTCTCAAATCATATCAAATTTTTCAAAAAATCAATTGGCTTTATATTTTTAAAGTCTCTACTTTCAGATGGTGTATGCATAACATAACATATATAAAAAAAATGCCCCACTAAACAGATAAAAAACGATTAAAAGCTGCTTTTTTGTTTAATTTTCTGAGGAATTTACAAAAGTAATGTATATATGTTATATTACATCTTAAAATAGAGACTTTCAAGAACATAAAGCTTACTGACTTTGATGAGCGTCAAACATTGCGGGCAGGCAGTTTCATGGTTGCGCTTGTTGTTCGGAGTGAGCAAATGGAGGACCCATCGCGCCGTCCGCTTTCTCTTGCCCAATAATTTATGCCGTATATGACCCACTCAGTCTTTTGAGATGTCTAACACCTCGTGCAACTTCAGTCGATGTTCTTACAATCCGATATCGAGGGCTTTGGTCACGTGATCACCAACGGTCACCGTGTCGAAAATCGTTAAACCCAAATTTTGCCGATCGCCATTGAAGGAGAAGGTGTTGCCATAAACAACAGTCAGTGGCTTTATGATTTCCCTTTTTTCTAAACTACGCGGATACGCCGATTCTCTTGTGATAGTGGCGCCATCGGGCGGTGATGCGAAATAATTAACGCACCGCTTAAGTAAGCTGGTAGCGATCGTATCACAATGACCTAACAAATTGAATTGATATACTTTGCTTATGAAATGGTCGGGAAATAGCAGTTTGCATTAAGCAATATTAACAATATTCTCATTATGCAATATTTTCATGGTTATCTTTTGAAGTATACCGCTAATTCGCTGCAGGGACTATAACATATGGTTACAGCCCGCATTTACAGTTAGACTCAAACCAATCGGTTAACTCATTGCAATAAAAATATTCCACACATATTTGGCGATTTGGCGCATAATAATTATTTTATTAGTATATTTACAATACAAGTTAAGTGAGTTCTATGGACTGTAACTCCTCGAATACATAAATTTGTGCACACATTTACGTATATGAGTATAATTATTTAGTTCATGTACCTATACACATGTACATATATAATAATAGGTTTATGTGTGCGTGTACATATAAACGAGTATATACATAACTATAAAATACAGTTCTACTAAATATACTAACAACTTTAACACACATAAATTAGATTACACACACGATACACACGAATAATAACGAACGAATAAGTGTATAAGTGTTGCATAGTGTAATGTACAGAGGCACACAAGTTTTGACTTTAGACCGCACACTGCTACATAAGCAGTTTAACTACTGTCCCACACCTATCCTACTGCTTGTTGGCAGTTGGGTCCGTTGCATCGGTTACCTTTTGACCTTCGGTATTACGTAAATGCCGGCGGAGACTATAGTCGGAACCGAATGGTAACACCGCAGTGTGTAAACTGTTTTGAGTTGTTGGTTTTGGTATTGCTGTTGTTGGTGCGCGGTAGCGCAAATCACTGCTAGTAATAACACCTTCGCTTCTATTCAAAGTATCCAGAAATGAGGGCCGCTGATCGTTTGAACGTTGTTCTTTGCGCGGTGGGAACGACTCACCCGCATTGAGTGCCGTGAAGGGGTTGCGGAGAGAGAAATTTACTAGTCCAACTGTTTCATAATTATACGGTTGTTGAGGTTTCACCGGTGTATGCAAACTATTGTAGACATAATTACCAAAGCTCACAACATTCGCTTTATCCAGATAATTCGCCTTATATGGACTGCCAAAGTAGTTGGAAGCTTTGTTGATTGTATGCAAATCGATCGAGGAACTATGTGGTGCGCTGTAACCGTTTGGCAGCGGCAGACGTAGTATACGATTATTGACTTCGTTGGGGTTGAGATTTTTCAAAAAGAAACGATGAAACTTTGAGGAGACAGCATAAAAAACACCGGGTTCATGCGGTGTTGTTGTCATGTCGGCTACAAATTGCAAACGATCACGATCGTGTGCAAGCACAACTTGATTATTGTTGCTGGGATTCCAGGCGGCAATGGCTGTTTCAGTTAATGGACTGAAAATAACGCTGCTATCGATGGGTGAAACGGTAAGTCCAATGCCCTGTGATGATTTCTTACCGACCAATTTTACTTTGAGGATTTCGTTTTGTGCGAGCGGACCGGCGCGCAGCACCTCTCTGGTCACTGAAAATATGCTGTAGGAGAAAAGAGTTAGCCTTGTTTTAAATTAACTACAAATAGGTGCTTCTTTCTTTGCCTACCGATCAGTCGCCAAAGGCTGGAAGTATAATACACCCAATTTCTGATCAAATGCTAAACCCACAACGCCATCCATCAGTATAAAACGATCGTTGAGTATCTCAGATTGTGCAAAGTCTGGATCGGGATACATTGCAGGATGTGATACGCGCCAAGTAACATCGCGTCCGCTGTCATAGACAATGATTCCTAAGAGTTGAAAATAATATAATATATGTTAGGTAGACTACATTAACTATGTTCTTGACGAGAATGACTCAATATGTTCCAAAATAAATATGTATGTAAGTGGTTTTGAATGTTATAAAATGCAAGAAAGATAATTGTTGTGGTACTCTTTGACTAAGATTCTCTCAAAAGTGTAGGATCAGGTTTAGACCATCTCTAAGAAACTGAAGAATTTTTAGTTTTTATGAGAAGATCTAATACGAAAAGATTGAGAGAGATTTGAGAAGGTTCTCCAAAGCTTAAAATTAGTCTCTGATCTAATTCTCATGCACTTACCTGGCTCCACCGTATCTGAGATATATGCAAACACATCATCACAATTGCCGTGCTTCGCTGTCGCCTCATCAATCACCAAATTCGTAAACAAAGACTCGCCGCGTAAGATTTCTTTTGGGAAGTCCACACGACGTACCACCTGATCGGTATTCAAGTCGATAATTAAAATTTTTGGCGGACAAGTGATTTCGTAGTCTTCGAGCGAACGCGAAACGCCGGCATCTAGAAGCCATAAGCGATTGCACGAGTCGATGCGCATGCGGTACACAGAGATCAGAACTAAATCGCTGCAGTTGAAATCTGTGCGACCGGTTGTGGAAAACGACCAGTCTGGGTAGGCCTGAAATTTAACAATAGCAATTTGTAAGCAATTTTGCAAAAACGTGCGCTTTTCGTGCACGGCTCACCTGCAACACCGGTGAATCACCGAATTCCGCCTTCGAGACGACATTGACGGCGGACGAGACACCAGAGAACAATTTCGGCGTCGCTATGAAAATCCGGTCGTAGGAGACCGCAATACCGGTTGCAAGCACATTGGATGGATTGTAGAAATTCAAATCGTGTATCGGCGCATGTGGTAGGAAGTTATAGGTAAACAACTTCCACTGCTTGGCCGTTTGCAAGGTTGAGGACTCGGCCAACACGCCAATGGACCAGCAGCCGGCAATTATGGCTGTGAAGATCAAGAGCTCTGCTGAAGCTGTAAAACGCTTCATTGCGTTTTATATGCCTATTAACTGGTTTGCAATTGTAAAGCGTCGAAATCGCTGTAAAATGAAAATGAATGCAAAAATTTTAAGTTTATAATGCTTTTATAGTTTTATGAATGGGCTAAGTTGTAATTTTTGTAAATTTGTATGTTAGCATGTACACTATGTTATTATGTTTGTAATGTTTTGTGTAAGATCGTGTTAATTTTACTGACGTCTCTGATGGAATTTTCGACAAGTGAGTGCTTAAGTAATTACCGTCAAAGACAACCCGCCAATTATTGGCGCTTTTGGTGAAACTCATTTATTATGCATTTCTACATTTTCTGTGTTGTTTTTAGTGTGTGATTGAGCTAATCAGGTAATGAGTCCAGCGTAGATGGCAGCCTAAAGTAGCTGTCACTGAAAAGTGTTAATAACTTAATTGACTGCTCGCTGGAGGATCCACGCTTAATAAACATTTTTGTTTTGGCAAATCAATCTTTTATGCGCAGAGCTGTTAACATACATTAAGACCAAAAAGTTTCCGGAAATTGTAAATAAAACGACAAATTTTTTATCTTCATCAATATTTATTTTGTGGCCTTCAAAATATGCTCCCTCTGAAGCAATACACATATGCCACCTTTTTTTCCAATTATCGAAACACGCCTTGTAGGTCCGGGTCCGGTATCGCCTTCCGTTCCCTCTGCGAATTTTTTTTTACTAGTAACTTGAGTTTTGGAACCCAAAAAAAGTCGCATAGGGCCAAATTCGGTGAATACCGTGGATCGATGGTATTGAACGAGTTTTTAGTCTTAAAATTGTTCATTATACTCTGCAGCAACATGTTGTACATAAAACCAGAAAGTTTCCGGAAATTGTTTTTTTCGATATTCGCGGTTTGATTCATCATGTATTCGTTCCAACGGGACAGACGGTTAATGAAGAGTATTATTTTCTATTGTATTTATATTTATGCGTTTTGTGGGTCATGTGATCTTAATGTAGATACTTTTGCACGAACATAGGTGAGCACATATACAGGGTGGTTCATATAATCGTTATTTTCCAACGTATGATGTATCCAAACAAAGACATCTCCTTGTCAGAAATTAGCATGAGACCACCAACTGATTTAAATTATCATTGAATCATTTTAATCAATCTTTTAAACTTAGTTTAAAACTCAATGTTATGCTTCCCAAAATTTATTTTTATTGATAACAATTCTATAATTGCGTAATTAAGAGCTTTCTCTGGAAGACATTTACTGCCGCGATCATTTCGAATGATAACCGAAATAAACATTTTACGAGCTAACCTGTAGGGTAGTATTAACCTAAAAATTTAAATTCTTCTCTACAAATGGACTCTTATCTCGTCAGTTTTGTTTAACAGCAAAACTGGGTCATTTGAAAAAGAAAAGGAAAGAGCCAAGGAACAATATATCTTCAGAATGTAGTTGTTTGTGTGGATTTTAAAACGGTGGTTTTAACAATACATTTTTTATTTGAAAATGTAATTTTTTTTATTTGACCATTAAAGCACTATATCGACCACCCTGAATGCATTTATGAATGAGTGTATATCACTTGGAGTTTCGATAGTAAAAAGTGTTGGTTGTCGTACGCTGATGCTGATTTTTCAAATGTTTCTTTAATGGCATTACAACATCTGTAAACGTAGCAATAAACAACAATAAAAGCAACAACTTGTACCCCCCTTACAAAACAACGCACACACGTTTTCGCAAACGGCAGAGTGCCAAAGCGCGAATTGAGTTAACGGCGGCATGCGGCAAGTGGTATTGCATGGATTTCTACATATCCGTAGATTTGTACGTCAAAAGTGACACTTCGAAAACGGAATATCGGTTAAATGTCCCGAAACGTATCAACATATATAGCTTTAGTTTGACGCTTGCGCATATTTATTATTGGCTAAGTGCGGAACGGCGCTTAGCGCTAAACCAGTGAATCAGTATCGGCATTTGTTTATTCGGCTACGGTTGACCAGTTTTGAAAGGCAATTTTTTTTAACAAAACCCAGAATGGTATAACGTTTTTTAATAGATGTTAGTTAATATGCTTATTTGCTGAAACCCCGAGAATTTTTATATGGAAAGCCAGACAACATATTTTTAGCAAGCAATTTAAAAGCAATTAATTGGAGCCATGCATACATCAACTCAGGAGTTTTGTAAGAATCGATATATAAATAACATATTTATAAATATATATGTTACGTGTAAGTAAAATGCGATTTTTTAGTTTTTAAATGTTAAACTTCTTATAAAACTATAGCTTAGAAGAAGAAGGTAGTCGATTTCGTTAGCTATATTTAAAAAAAGAACATCAAAATGAAGCTACGAATTTGTATCAGTAATGAGCATGTTAACGAATTTTATGCTCTCAAGCGTAAAAAGTGAATTGATTTTCGACTTTAAATCTATTACATGCTTTGCGAATCTTTTAAATACTAATGAATTGATTTAATATAATTTAATGCATACGAACGCTCCCAATCTTGACAGCTATTACTTATATATCGACGTCTTCGTTAGAAGAATACAGTTTTCACCATTTTCAAATTAACCTAAACTTTAAAGGTAGGCTGTTGCAAAGATGGATTTCAATTAAAACGATTTCTAAGAAAACTTGCAAAAACTCTAATATTAGGCACCTTTTGGCGGCTTCAGCTTTTAATGGTAATTATGACTATTTCCGATATGAATAAATATAGATCTATATGAAGTTATATCAGAAAACCATAAGTATTAATAATAATTTTCATTGTAACATAATGAAACTATTTAGTAAATTTTTTTCAACTAAATACTCACAATAAGAGTAACTTTAGCTGGGAGCCTAAAATCCACGAATGTTTTTAAAAAATGTTTGTTGCTGTGATGGCCAGGACAGCCTTTAACAGAATCCTTTGGAAAAAATAGGTTTTATTTAAGAGAAATCTTGGAAACAAGTTAAAGAATAATTGTTTAGTAATAATAATGTCTTATTTTTTGGATTCTTAATCTTCCTCATTAATCAATCAATCTTTAATTTTATATATATATATTTTAACTCTTTGGTTGGTTTCTAAAATATCGAGCTCCAAATTCGGCCAAGCGCTGACTATTCATCTTTATATCTTTAAAGGTATTTTTCCAAAAACAGAACTTTTTTTTTAAAGTTTTTAGACGATTCTGACATAATTATAAAAAATATTCGAAATCTCTAAACGATTGACAAAACAGCTCGCTATGCTTAGACACAAACATTTTCGGATTTTTTCTATCCATGCAAGTTTAGAAACTAATTAATGAAATATAAAAAAAATTTTGTTTAACTATCGTTAAAAATAGGACCGTAATTCGAGCTCGAATGTAGACGTCAGCTTTAAGCTTATGACTTCATTATTTTTTCAAATCATACTTTTATTAGGCTACTTTTATCTTTCTTTACAGGTTAACAATTGCGGTGGCTAATAGCAAGTTAAATATATCGACACTTCGATAACGGCGTAAGTTGTTCATTAAAGAATATTAACTTACGCGAATTCTGAAATTAATTAATACCAAGCAATTAATATTATAACATCAACTATGTGTATTTAATGCGACTTTCTCAAAAGATTATTAATATCTTCTCAAATAAATTCAATATTCAAGTGTAATTATGTCATGAAATAGTTATATACAATATAAAAATCACTGAGGCTGCTTAAACCTGCTGTACGCTCCATTTGTTGAATAACATCGAGGCACAAATTATACTAGAGACTTGGCTAAGCAAGTACATATGATAAAATTTGTATAATATCTACAAATAAATGTGCGTATGCATGTTAAACCCATTCGGTTTATAGTACCATGTAATATTCACTAAGGATTCAGGAAGTGTGGCAGCAATAACTGTATTTTATGTTGTATACAAATTTTATGACTAATATGTACACATACGTCTATCAAATTTTAGCAGTTTTCGTGCATTAAGTAATAAATAATGACAATACAAAATATATTCACCAGTTAAAATTCAAACATTACTATTACATCGTTTGGAAATTCACATAAATATATATTCAAAATAGACAACGAATTAGCAAACTCGTTTGCTTTGCAAATTGTTATCACTCTCCAATTAAATGTGCAAATTTGTGTCTCAATTATTGGGTTTAATATAGCATTTCATGTATATACTATATGTAAGTTTATTCTGCGATTAGTGTTGGAATTACCTGTATACAAAGTGTAAGTTTATGGATGTATATATTATACTGAAACTCAAGCGATGTTTGTCAACATCAGTTAGTGGTATATTTTTGTCTAGTACCAGCAACTAAGGTAAGAATACATAGCGGTTAAGTAAAAGGAATTTTCCCACACATGTTTTTTCATTTTCAATTTCATTATTTTCACTTAATTATTACTGTCTTGGAATTGCAAAACTCTGAATAGTGGTGAATCGAAGAAAGAGCTGGTATAAATACAGTAGACTGGCATATTCAAATAGAGATATGTTACCGGTTATACCACTTTAATGAGACGTCGACAAACTCGCTGGCACTAAGTTCAAATTACTAATACTTTTATTTCTATCACATGCAAATTTGTTGTAAATATAGCAGAAAGAAAGAAAAGTAGTGCCTAATCGTAGACGGCTATTTAAAAGTAAAGGGTCAATAAATTTATTTTACCGACTGTGACGCTGGATATGAAGAGTTTATTTCCCGTTTATAAATTAAATTGGAATTATAAAATATATTTGGAAAAACTATTGAAAAATATAAATAAGTATTTTTTGTGCGAAATTCCAGTCTTATTCAGACCAATTTTTTTACATCAAAATCTTTATTATTTCCCTAAGTGTCTAAAATTTCAAAACCTACACAGCCTGTTACTGCGCTAATTCGAGTAGAGCTCAAGCAATTTATACTAGTGAGCTGAATATTTATGTATTAAACATATTTATATAGTCTCACATTGTGCATAAGTGTTCACAGCTCAAACTGCAGGTTGGCATAAACGCCGTTTGTTGATTTTTCATAATCACATGTGGAACATTTGCTTATTGTTG